TTCTTTTTAATGTAAATCGGGTTAAAATAACATTCATGTGCGTCTTTAACAATTTTTAGCTGGGTTTCCTGGTAATTCCATTTGTGAGTGCTAATTTCTGCAGAGAAGCAGTCCTCACCTATCGACACCAATTCGACGGATACCTTCTTGATCAATATGAAAGATTCTATTTATTTAAACTATACTGACAACTATGCCGTTGTCTGAGTATTCGTACATAAATTCTATCCTGTCCTATTGCATTGAACTTTCTGTTTTAAAATTATTATTCCGGTCAAATGGTTCGATAAAATTTTGACGTGAATTTCTGGCTGAAGAAATCATTCATTAACGAATTTGCTTTATTGCCAACTGATATTTATTTTATACCGTATTATTTACACTAATGACATCATGAAGTGACATCATAAAAAATTATCCACAAAACATAAATAGAAGTTTACATGTAACTCATCTGTTTCAACCACACATTAGTTATCATTTTGGGACCTCGTTTGGAATGAGCCTGTAGATGATATTGACAAATATTCATGTAATAGCTTTTCCTAAATGGGTCCAGAAATTCATAAGTTATAGACGAAAATAAGCAAATATCGTAATTTTTTCGAGGTTGCTGCAGTTTTGTTTTTATTGTGAGGGTGTATGTAAACAGACCGCACTGTTTTTCAGCTCCTGTCTTAATAAAACAATTAGTTCAATATTAGAGTGTGCACTTTGTTCAGATACCAGATCGAATTCGACCGCCAAAACCTTCAATTCTTTGAAGGCTAATTACCGTCCTTACTCATCATTTATTGTTAATTCTTACATGATTTTAAAACAGAAACATCTTCACTCCTAATTATTACGTAGAATTTTTAGGTAAAATGAATTCCGGATTTGAAAAGACCCAATAAGAATGCTTGTAAATTTGCAAGTTCTCAGGAAAAACTTAGTGGTTTTGTATCACATATACCACTACTTATTTTAAACAGTTCCTAATGCTGAATTCGCTCAGTTCAACGCTTAGTTTAGCCATGCCAGCCTGATTGCGTCATTGTAGGTCAACAGTCACGAGTCTTTTTGAAGTTTTGGCAGGCATTCTCGAATTAATTTTGTGGTCTCACTAAAAAGTTTGACAATCCGAACTTTTACCATATAAATTATTTAAAACCTTTCCTCATTTGTTACAGAACATACACAGAGAGTGGTTCTTCACTCCCATATTTCTTGGGGTGTCTTTATAACATATGAATTACCAGTTCCAATATTCGGTGTCATTAATTTATGCCTTTCTTCACAGTATAGTGACAGTCCTCTGCTGGTGTTTTTAATTTGGTTTATTGAAAACACTGACGCTTCAAAGGTGTGTTTTTTTTTTGCATATTAAAAATGTGCAGGGTGGTGAGCAGCAAAAACCAATTAACAGAAATTGTTTTTCAAATATCCTAAGTTTGTTGATCTGAGTACTGCGAATTCTTCTTTACAGGAGAATGGAACGCATCTATAATACTTACAACCCATGCTGTATACAGTTCTAATTAGGTATATTCGGTGTGTGATAAAGCCGGTTAAAGTTGAAACTTTTTCATGTAAAGCAGATAAGACCGAACGTAGACGATGATATAAATTGTGTGTGCTTAATATCAAAGCTCTCTTAATTGTGGGTGCACCGAAAGCCCATTAAGATAAATTATAATTCGAAAATTTAAATGCCCATAGATATATATATAAGACATTTATAAGATACCAACATATTTCTTTTTAGCAATTTTAAAGAAATTATGGCTACATATGTTGTCATATCATACTCATCTTTAAACTTTCAGGTTTCAGTTGTCCACATTAATTTATGGGAGCGTGGAAGCATCAATGAAAGAAGTCGAATGGACGTAATAAAATTAATTCAGGTTTGCGTCGGTGCAAGACGATCTGACGTTATTTTACGTAGCAGGTGTGATTTTTTTCTTGAACTCACGAACATACCGAAAAATAAACAAGGTCGTGGTGAAGAAAACAAAGTAGATCTAGGTATCTAATTTTTGGTTAAGTCAAACATTTGTCTTTTCTGGTTTATTATTATTATTATTATTATTATAAACTTAGCCAGAGAATAAATTCTAAGACTAAAGTCTTAAAGCACTAGCATCTAAGGCTTTCGGCTTTATTAAAAACTCTACCGCACTTGAGATTTGAACCCACGACCATTGAGTTGCTAGTCGAGACTCTTGCCTACTCGGCCACTCAGGCGGCTTTTCTGGTTTACCTACCAAAGATAGCCTGTTAAGTATTTATTATGTAGTAAATTCTCGCTTATTACATAATAAAAATTTATAAAAAAGAAAAAGTAACTATTTTTCCTTGCATTATATCTCAAGTGTGAGAAATTTTAAATAAAAAAAATTGTTAATAATAGCATTGTACCATCATTGTTTTTTTACATTTTTGCTTTTCTGAGCCAGTGCATTAAGGTAGACTTGACATCGTGGAATAAAACTTATTATATCCCAACAAACCATTTAGAGATATTGATATGAACTTAAGCAAATATATTATCTTACGATATCGTTTGCAATACAGCCAGCGCCTTTCCCAGAGACTGTTACACAACTTTCCGATTATTCTTGTCTAATTCTTGATTTTTATTCGGTATTGAAAATATATCCGGGCTCTGTGTGGTACGTCCTTGTTCGTAAATACTGTACACTAGAATGGTATGCGATCGTGATATTTTTTTTTTTTTTAACTAGATTTCCTTTACTTATAAATAAATATGGTGTATCAACTTCGAATACTTTATTTCACAATCTGTTTAAAAAAAAGTGAACTGAAAACCTTTATATATAATCAGAGAGTGTTTGCAATCAAAAACGTTTTTAACTATTTCCAATTAGAAGAGGTTCGAAATAAAAGTATAAGGGAACAAATTGTGAATTCCTATTTTTTGGTATGTTGGTGTATTTAGCTCCACTAAATAAAAACTAATATGATAGTAATAGATGAGAATATTTAGCTAAATGTTCCCATGTTAGAATACAAATGTATTAGAGTTAAAAAAAATTAAAAATTAAATTTAAATTTACGTTGGAAATTAAGCCAAGGTCAGTTCAGTAGTCATGCGCGCTTATGCGCGCCAATGAAAATGCTTCTCCTTTGAGTAAAGAAATATATAACGAACAACAAAAGGGTGAGGGTTATCGCTTCATGGTCTTCACTTGAACTTCGTAGCTATCCAAACAAAATTAATGTTTCTATACTTAACAAAATAGTGCTAATAGTGAAATAATTAATGTTGTGATTTAGTTAAAAAGAAGAGAATGATTATATTTAACTTGAAAGAAATATTTTTGTCTTGACCTTTTTTATTAATAACCTAAAGACGTAATTATGATTTCAACAGATAGGCCACCATTGTGCAATCAACCATCCTCTTCAAGTTATTTATACCTTATAAAACAGAGCACCCTTCAAGGCTCAAGACAATAGGATATAACGCTCTTTTTTGCATCAATTTAGAAGGCAAATACCATAGCGGGTTTTGTCGCGAAATTTTGAAAATTGCAGTTCGTGCGACAAGTTTTTTAAAACAAAGCGTTCTATAGGTTGTAGTCGTAGAAATCCAATCCATATTCTATGGTGTTCATCCTTGAATGAAAACATGTCAGCGTCCCAAATGTTATTGAAATAGTTTAAAGTGCGTGAAGCTAAAAGTGTAAAACATAAACATCAGACGAACATACGGACAAACAAAAATCGGTAAGCATCACTTTCTGAACCGATCGGGTCGATTTATATATTAACAAAACGTGGGTCCACATCTCTTTCTTTTGGGTAAGAAAATCTGTATGAATCTTTTTTTTTAAATTCTATTTGACAAGACCGGGTACATATATAAAGTGTGCAAAAAACAAAAAAGTTCACATATATGTAGGGATGCGATAATGCTCAAACCTAATAAAGAAAAGGAAGTTCGTATTATTTGATATGTGCATTTCATGTTCTCATCATACAACAAATCTATAGATATGTGCTAGGTAAGACATAAAGATGTAAATGAGAATTTTTATAGACTAAATATTTATTTATAACTTATTTATAAATAGTTGTTCTATTAAAAAGACTGCAGAGGTTGGTAATTTCTTTGACTTTTCAAGACATCTATTTTCAATATATTCCAAACTAAGAAGATTGAAAAGCCCTTATATACTGAATGTTTCATTTAATTTCATTTTTTTTTCTTTAAATTATTTTAATGAATTTTCTAAGTTAATATAGTTTCTTTTTGATTATTTAAGCATTATACCTTTATTATTACACTGTCCCCGTTAGGGATAATAACCTCTGTCACTTTTCTCATCTTGATATTTATTAACTGTTACCCTTTTCGATAGATTAGAAATTAAATATGTAATTAAAAAAAAAAAAAAAAAAAAAAATTTTATAAGTCTCTTAAAGATATTTTCTAAAATAAAGAAAAAATTCTATAAATTCCTTTGAAGTTATATTCGATACATTTCACCTGAATCGCCAAATCCAAAGATTCTCGACTAAAAACTCAATGGTTATGGGTTCAAATCTTAAGTGTGATTGAGCTTTCAAAAAAGTTGATAATCTTAGATGCTAGTGGTCTCAGACTTTAGTCTTAGAATTTATTTCTCTAGCTATATTAACAATAATAATAACAATAACAACAATAACAATAATTTATTCAATACAAAATATCTGATTTTAGGTTAAAAGTTCCGACAGCTCAACTAGTAGTTTCAGCTACTAACTCATATGTCCTTTTACTGAAAGCTAGAAAGTTGAAGGACAACAGTGCGTTCTCTTGACAAGTGAAATTATTTTACGCAATTAGTCAGCCCAATGAACATTACTGTTTAATATTGTCTGGAATAAATGCTAGTGTCCAAATGCTTTGCTTCAAAACAAAGACCTAATAAAATTGATGAATACTGCATGGTAAATTATAAATATAAATATACTGTTTGCTCAAACTTGATTAAAAAAAAAAAACTTACTTTGATTTGTTCGAAACACAATCGAACTGTAGAGAATTCTTTAGAAAATAATTTTATTTGGTGAAAGTTTTTATTTGAAGTGGTGTGCACGTTTATAACCACGATGCCGCTACGGGCGAAAGAAGCGATGCACTATTTAAATTGGTCGTGTAAAATAACGATGAGTCCGCTTTGAAGTCCTCCAAATATATATGTGTGAAGACTAATGATCAAAATAAAATTCTTGATTTTTTAAGAATGAATAATTATATTAAAGCAAGGAGTTTGTGCCTTCGTAATTCAACTACCATATATAATACTAACTAGCAATGATATTTACTAATATTTTGCACAAAAATCAAGTCCTTGATTAATTAATCAAAGCGTTCTTTACTTTTTTGAATATTGACATTTATTTTTTTTTTCGCTTTTCGCAGATTGGGACAATACAAAATGAGTCCGAAAACAAGTGTAGTTTTCTCTCTCGTTTCCTTTGTGATACAGAGAAAAAGTATGACAGTTTCACAATTTATAAACAGTTGTAAATTTTGAATTTTAATTCAATGCGCTTTTTATTTTAAGATTAGTCTGATATACCAATATTCTCAAATCTTGAAAAAAAGATTTCTCTCCACGTAAGACTGTTCTGATAACTTGAATATTTTCCTGCTTTATTATTTTTATATAACTAATAATTTGCTCCGTATCCTATATTTTCGCGCTTCACTCTACGTTCACACATTTGCAAATTATCCAATTTACTCTATATTTTTTCAGTGAATAAAATTAAAATATTTTAATTTCAATTATACAAGATTTATTCGCCGACGTTTGCTTACCAAGATTGGTATTATTCCGCAAGAATTTCTTTATGTAATTCGACAGGGGATTAGTTTCGCCTAGTAATCAATCTAAGCCATAACTCATCACTTCACTGCAGTTACTTTTATTTAAAAAATTTTCTTGTTTATTCGCTATTGTTTGTTAATTTTTCTTCTGTTGTTTGGCGGGTATTAAATTTGTTTATACAAAATACATATGGGTATGCCATGCATATACATGTGTGGTACATGCGTGTATATAATATATGCCTATAGGTACATAATATATACATACAAGTATATAGTATAAATATATAAATACATACAAGAATATAGTATGCATATATGTATATATATATCTGCGTGTGTATGTATATACATGTTCACGATGTTTGGTCTCTGTTAAATATTATCCGACAAGTTGTCCGCAAATGCAAAGGTCTCGAGTAGAACTGTTTTATACAAAACCCTGGCGTTGCAAACGCTGACTTGTTACGCTTGATGTAGCAAATGCAGTAAATGGTAATAACAATACTCACAATATAGTCCAGCAAATAGAAAGCAGAGTACAGCCAATGCTCTAAGCTCAATTCTTAAAGGCTCACAATTTGAGCCAGGCTCTGAACGGATATCAAGTGACGGTCGGTGTGTTTTGAGTGTTCTTATTGGCATAGTTATAACGTTTGAAAGGAAACTTTTATGAAAAAGACAACATGATGGCTGTGCTATTAGCGCTCAAATATATGCCTGAAAGCAAAACCATGTGATTAATCATATCTAATGTATAAAAATTCCGCTGAATTTTGCTTATTGATGTGGCTAAATTATATGTAAACTGTATTATTTAATCGCTTTCTCTCCATCGCTATTTTTACGTTTTTTCTCCCACCCTCTTTACTCACTCTCTCCCTTTCACGCTCGCTCTCTCTCTGTCTCTCTCTCTCTGTCTCTCTCTCTCTCTCTCTCTCTCTCTCTCTCTCCCTCTCTCTCTCTTTCTCTCTCTCTCTTTCTCTCTCTCTCTCTTTCTCTCTCTCTCTTTCTCTCTCTCTCTGACTCTGCAACGCCCTCAATTATAATGGTAATTAGCCAGAGATCGACTTTAACCGAACCTTACACACCCACCGTTATGGGTTAAATGCTAATTTCTTAACTTTTTTAGGTCTTTAGGTGCAGTAATCTTACTTTTAATTGAACTAATTGATTTTGCGTAGAAGCGAACTTTAAATTTTAACTTCGCCAACGTTAAAGACACGAACGCAATCATAGTTCATGCAGCTTAACACAACAAAACCAGCACAATACGCGTTGCAGGCCTTAAAAAGCTACAGATAAAATGTTGACTTAAAAGAAAAGAGAAACTCCACAAGCAACCAAGTAATCTCGATTTGTGGTTGGATAAACTTGCGGCAACCTAAAAACTCTAAGCATATATAAGTAAAATTTATCTCAAACACATATAAAAGGGCGCGCGTGCGTATATCAAGCAAAGAGTGCGATAAATTGACGAATCGTATGTATGCATGTAAATATACTCTTGTACTTGTGCATATAGGCATGCATTCATTACGAATACCAACCAATATCAGTTATTACACCGATTAGAGAAAAGTGTTTTATCCGCCAGTCCTCGATAGGGGCACATTGATTTTATAACGTCCGTTCTTAACGCTCTGATTGCTGAACAGCTTCCATCACCTTCTAATCTTATGAAGTTTAAACGTGCGAATGTAGTCTGATATTGCATGCCATAAACAATAGCCACGTGGTGGTAATACTAAAAAGAAATCGACAAAACTTCATGATGCTAAAAAACCGCGATATTTTAACGTTTGGCATATGCGCTATTTTTTCACCTATCCGATGTGACATGTACTGTCTTTAACAAAGCGTTTGTTAAAATTAACAATGATTTGCGAATTGTCAGGTTATTATTAATAGCATGCCCTTCAAAATTTTTCCTTGGATAAGTTCTTACGTCAGTAACCCTGCTCAGAAAATTCTTTTAAAGAGATTTTATCTCGAATAATCAACGTGACGGCAGGAACGGCAGGGATATGCAGTTACAAATACATTCTATATAGTTAAAAGCTTAAACTAGCAACATTTCAACAAAATGAAAATTATGAAAAAATGAAATGCTATAACGAGAAAGAAGAAGAAAAAGGGACCAAACTATATATCCTAGGAAAGGTATTAAAACTAATTTGTGGTCATTTGCAACTAGGGAATAATTTCAATAATTAGCTCAAACATGTTGCTGCATTTTTAAGTTAAAAATTATTCGTAAAGCGTAGCTATAATTTCTCACAAACTTTGTATCTGTTAGGTCCCCTAAAAACTAATTTGAATAAGTGTTTCAGTTCTCTTTTCGATTGCTTTAAAAAACAACTTAGTAGACACCTGGAAAATTGTTACACTTCCTCCCCATGTACATTAAAATCGAACTTCTCTTCTGCGCTCTTTTAGAATTAAAAGCAAGGAAGAATTATATTCGTTTCGGGAATCTTGTATACCCACCACCATTCGATTAACCATAGGAATACCAATTTTATTCCACTGCAGCGCGATAAGAGAAGAGTAGTTATTATTATTAGAGCAATATAAACGACTTTCAGTGATCAATATTTTCTATTTTTTAACGGGAAAAGAAATCAGCCTTGTATCTTTCATAATGTAAGGCGCAAGAGCCCACAAATTTTTGCTTAGAGAAACGGAGTTGTGTTCAATTTACGCTTTGCTGTGGACGTGTGCTTTAACCAATTTGGCCCATATTCACTACAAACCTGCTCGCAAGAAACTGCCAGGAGAGTGGAACAGCACATATCATAGGCACACAAACACATAAAGATTGGGTAAGAATATATATATTTTGGCGAGTGTATAAAATTTGTATTTTTTCCTATTCCATATTTTATGTTTTAACGCTGAGGTAAACACATTTTGTCTTTGGTTCAAGATTTCTCTTTGCTCTTAATAACATCAAGACCGATATTCCTTCCCGCTTGTTTGACTTGACGCTTGGCTATAATTCCAAAATCGCAACGGTAGGCCGTTTTGTGATTTCATATTATAAGAAATAAATTTATAATATGTACAAACTCAATTTTCGTTATATACCATATAAAAACCTTAGAGATAACGTATTAGAAAACTTTTGTCTGCAAAAAATCTTCTAGCCATGTTATTATTCCCGGTAAATTCTTTGAAGACGAATTACCTAAATTGTCCCTTTTACCTCCGTTTCACGTTACAAACAATTGTAACTATTCTGATATAAAACATATCGAGATTTGTGATATATATTAATGAACTGTGACGCACTGTGATTAACGACACCACATTTCCGAATTATTTAGATTGCGTTACATCAATATAAATCGAATAATCAAGATTATATGAACAAAAAAAATTTCCTCCATATGCTCTTTCTGTGTACTAAATGATAATGTTCTCTTATACCTGTTGGATTCTTGCTCATTCTTTCGAGCTCGACACTTCTATCAATCTAAACTGTCAATTTTTTTTCGTTACAACTTGCTGAAATGATATAAGCTATTGAATCACACTTAACATTCTTTAAATTTGCAAGTCTTCTATGCTCTTACAAAACCAGATATATATTTAATAATAGTAATTTGTATATATATATAAATAAATGCGTTCTATTAGACATTTAAAAAATATGTCTAAAGTCATAGTTTTAACGGATTAAGTAAGTTCAACTTTGAACAAGTTCTTACGAACAAATACAATTACAATACAATAGAGTTTCCTGGGAAGCTTAAAATGTAAGTAACACATGCTTAATTTTCATATTTTCATTGCAATTCGGTAAAATGTGAACAAATTTTGCTAACTGTTGATCCTCATAAAATGCGAAAAAAAAAGATTTGAGGTCAAAGTTTCTTTTCTGAACAAAGTTTTGAGATCAATATACTCGCAGACAGAACAAGCAAGACTAATTAATTCTAAGGAAAATTTCCTACAAAACGTCTTTGGAAAACGGTGCCACCACAACACAGCTGGAAGGTCTCCTACAAAATAAAATATTTCATTCGGTAATGTATAGAAAAAGGATTGGAAAAGACGAAATTCTTGAAATCCCACGTAAAAGAATGATCCTATGCAGGGGAGGGTGGCAATATTTAAAAGAAAAGAAGCAAATTGTGTACCTATCATTACGCATATTTTGAAACCTAAAGCCACCGAATTCGTACGAGAACTTGCCGATGCAGGAAGGTCAATT